GGGAAAGAGGGAAGGAGGGAAGAGACAGAGATGGAGAGAAAGGGACAGAGAAGGGGAGTGGGGCAGAGAGGAAGAAACAGAGAGGCAGTGAGAAAGGGAAGGACAGAGCAGAGCAAAGGACTATAAGGGCAGGGGTTGAAAAGAGCAAAGAACTCAGGTATCAGGTTACATATGAAGACACGTGTCAGACAGTCACGTGCATGTGCTGAAGCTCCATGTCTCCTAGCCATCTAAGCAAGGGTGTACACAGTCCATTAAGTAGAAATGCACCTATTTTGCATTTGCAGGACAGACTCAGCTTTGCCCAAGTCTAAGGTCAGAGAGCAACTTCTCTTCTGCAGCTGCTTTTGAAAGGGACTTCACGTGTTATGGTGGACGACATCCTCCACGAAGACAACAGAGAGGCATCTGCCAATGTAAACCATCTGTCGTTCAACAGCTCACTAAGAGCCAAAGAGCCCAGGCAATGAGGAAACTCCCTGCCCTGGTCACAGTGATGGCAGCAAATGCTTGATGGATTTGCTCCCTGCGGTCAGAGACCAGGTAAGGAGGGGAGTCTGATGCTTAGAGCTTGGGGTCCCACTCCTCCGCAATCCCACCGTTCCCACTCAAGCCCAGGTGCTGAGGGGACCAAGGGAGCTTGATGCTAGTCAATGATCATGATTACTAAAAGGCTGTTTATTTTAAACACCTTTTTCCTCATTACAAAAATGATACATCACTGTGGAAACCTTTTGTAAATGCCAATGTAGAATAAAAAAAACATCTTAGGGAATAAAACCCATCTTCAATCCACCATTTAGGGAGAACTATGTAACTACACGCTGCCTGTGTGCCTGCACGCACGCACGCATGTACGCACTCATGTAAACTTCCTGTTTCTATTCCATTATACAAGCTTGTCCTCCTAATATAATCCCAAACATCTTAAAAGTGAGCGTTTACTTCAAGACTCTGCATTGGGAGCCATTGTGATCCGTAACCCCAAGCGGTTCATTGTGTATAGTGAGGGTGGGTCCTGTTTCCAACAGCACATTCAGCGGCTTTGGGGGGATGTGGTTTGCACTGGGGAAGTGGACGGGGAGGAGGGAACCAAATACAGTCCGCAGGTGGGCCACATCCTGGCCCTCTGCGCTTGCTGCAACCTCAGCGGGATGTGTAGGCTCCTGTGCCTGGAGGTGCTGGGCAAGCCTCATGGGCTGAGGTGCCTACAAGCCCTGCACAGAGTGTGAAGCTCCCCACAGGTCAAGGGAGGCACTGCTCTTGTTTTAGGGCTTTTTTTTTTTTTTTTTTTTTTTTTTTTGCGGTACGCGGGCCTCTCACTGTCGTGGCCTCTCCCGTTGCGGAACACAGGCTCCGGACGCGCAGGCCCAGCGGCCACGGCTCACGGGCCCAGCCGCTCCGCGGCATGTGGGATCCTCCCGGGACACGAACCTGTGTCCCCTGTATCGGCAGGCGGACTCTCAACCACTGCGCCACCAGGGAAGCCCTGTTTTAGGGCTTTTAAAGGTGTTTGCCTCAGACACCTCTAGAATCAGCAATGAAAACCCCAACACTGCAGCACGCTGAGCTCACACAGACAAGACCCGTCCTACTGATGTTCCCAGAAGCTTCAGGGGTGCTCTGGAGGAGAGGGACTCTGGGGGAGGCTGGGAGGGGAGAAGACAGTCACCACTTTCTGAGTGTGGGTTACGTGCCAGGTGCTGGCCTCACGTCCAGGCAGGGCAACTTACATAACAATGAGTTTTATAAGGAAACGCCCCAACTCCCAGCATCTTCCCAGAGAATGAGTCTCGAAGCCTCTCTCTGTCTCTCTCCTTTCCTCCTCTCCCTCTCCCTATTCTCCCCTTACCCTCCTCTACTTTCTTCCCCTTCTAATTTTTCTTTCTCTTCTTTCTGAAAACTCAAGGAAATAGCAAAGTGAAGGAAGGAGAGGCCTAGACACTTAAAATGGAAAAAAACCCACCTCATTTAGAAAAGGAAGGCAGTGAAGGCCAACAGGGAAACTCCAAGGTGGGGGGCCCGGAAGTCCAGGCAAGGGAGGATCGGGCTGCCCCTTCCCCCGGGCTCGGGACCCTGCCCTCCCCTCCTCCAGGCACCAGGTCTGATTAGCACGCGGACTGACTGGAAAATCAAATGCTCTGGTTTGCGGAACAGACGTACCAAGCCCATCTGCAGCTGGAGTTTCAAAGCCGCTCAGTTCCTGTTGCTCTGAAATTTATGACAGGCCTCTCTGGCTTGTTAACCAAACGCATGTCTTGCAGACACCACTGTTCTCCGGAGAGGCTGTGAAAGCTTTGCCCAGAGACCACAGACCCACTCATAGGGAGGGCCTGGAGCCCCCGCCCCACTCACAGGAAGAGGGTCTGGAATAGCAATCGAGGGGCTCGGAAGCCACAGATTCGATTCACAGCAGGGGTCTCTCCAGTTCGGAAGGGCTGGGAGGCAGCCATCTGGACAGCGCCTTCTGACAGCCCCGCTCCTCTGGGAGCGGCGCCCACACCGCTGAGGTGATCACCCCCGTTAAAAGCTGCCCTAATTGGACTTTCTGCTGGGCTGGTCGCTGGGAGCCGACACCTCACTCTCTTCTCCAGGTGTTAGAAGTTGCGAACGCATTTGCCTGTTGCAAAGCTTACATCGTTTATAGCCGTTTCATTACTTCCTCAAATACGATCGCTGACTTTCTGACAATTTAAGAGTGACACCTGGTTTTTTAGTAGGAACTTTCAGCCAGGTTTTTGACCTGGGATGAAGTATTTTCTCTTCAGATGCTACAGTGGGAAAGCCAACTAACACTTCTGGAATGTCTAAGAGAAAAGGCAGTGGATGAATTTAACGAAGATGGGAACTGATCAGCAGCCCCGGTGAAGCTAGGGGAGCATATGGACCTGAGTGCAGCTGAGATCCATACGCTGATGCTCCCAGGGCCAGGCTAGAGTCCCAAAGTCGTCTAGGCTCAGTTCTGGGATGGAGAAGGCTCGCTTTAGGCTGTCAGTGGGCCCTTTTTACAGGGATGGAATTCTAGGCTTACATGAGGCAATGCATGAACCTGCAAAATTAGCCAGCGTGTGAAGGAAAGGCTAGTACAGAGGCTTAACACCTGGGTGGCGGAAGTGCTAAGCCAGGGCTTAGAGAAATGGATGGTACAGAGCACAGGCACCTCTCCAGACAGAGACTGGTGGGCAGGGACCGTGGTCTCCCTGGGCATTTGGGGAGTGAGAAAAAGAACTATTAGAAGTTTTATAAATGATCCCAACGAGGAAAAGCATTGTCAGTATTGAGCATGGCAGCACTGCTGACCTTTACCACAGAGAGGAACAGTTCCACAAAGGAAGACAATTAATAAGGGCATTTCCTGAGACTGTGTGAGGGGGCAGATGAACTAGGGGGCAATTTCAAGGGAGCAGTGGAAGTTAGCAAAGTACAGAAGAGTAAGCCCAGCTACATTCACAGGAGTAGGAAAACACATCTTATTCTTAAGGCCTACTGGCCAATCAAGGGGAATTCGATTTTGCTGTATTTGGGATGTGTGTGGCGGTGGTATGACATAAATATAATCACTCAACTCATTCACTATTAAAACTAAGGACAGTGGATCCTTTAAAAATAATAGATATAGGGCTTCCCTGGTGGCGCAGTGGTTGAGAGTCCGCCTGCCGATGCAGGGGACACGGGTTTGTGCCCTGGTCTAGGAGGATCCCATGTGCCGCGGAGCGGCTGGGCCCGTGAGCCATGGCCACTGGGCCTGCGCGTCCGGAGCCTGTGCTCCGCAACGGGAGAGGCCACAACAGTGAGGGAGCAAGAGTTTAAAAAAAAAAAAAAAAAAAAAAAAAAAAAAAAAAAAGATATAAAGCAAGTTGAAAGCAGTTTGGCTTCACAGTACCATCATCTAAGAGGGAGCGGTCATTTGTTTTAGTTAAGTGATGAGAGAAAAATAAGTGGCCCTGCAATTCCTCTTGCCATTCCATGGATGGGGGGTGGGTAGCAATATTGTTTTCACTACACCCCCCCCAACCCCAAGATGCTCAATTTCCTGAGAGTAAATCTTATACTTAAAAGATATACATTTTTCCTATTACATGATCTCTGAATACAGATTTACTACTTTTTAAGCAAATCTCTTCCAACACCGGCTACTTTTGACCCTATTTGATCTTCACACTTCCCTGGTCTTAAACTGACTTTAGACCCTACCCATACCTTCATCTCCACTTAAGAACACGGATACCATTTTATCTCCTAAAACCTCAAACCACACTGTGGGGTAAGCATTACTGTTCTCTGTTTCTCAGATGAGAACAGGAAACTAAAGATTAGATAAACTTGCCAGTG